TACTAAAAGAAATTGCTATAAATTTGAGATCGAATAGTAAATAATATCATTGTAATTGGACCAGAAATGAAGTACAATAAAAATGGAATAAAAAAAAAAAAAAAAAAAAAAACACAAGTTGCAACTAAGAACAATACAAACAGGGAAGCAGAAATAAGACAACCTAAGACATATCACATACATACATTTGAGTGATCAAATAAAAATCATTTTTTAATGTGCTTGACCTTGCGCCATCCCTTCTTGCAAGAATTACCCACAATCCTGAATCCTTTCTTGAAAATGAGTTTTACCCCATAAGCTCTCTTCTTCACTTGCGTCTCAAAACTTCCCATCTCTCTCTCTCTCTCTCTCTCTCTCTCTCTCTCTCTCTCTCTCTTTCTTGTAGATAGAGAAAGTGCCAATAAGTATTATTAGGTGTTGGTGATTAATTAATTTGGTAAGTTGAAGAATGCTTACGATTTTATAAGGTGGAAGGGGGGGAATCGTGCATCCAACGCGTATGTGCCACGTGGGGAGGAGCCAATGGAAGATTCGTGTATCCAACTTGTATTATTGCATTTTTTTTTTTGGGACAGCTTTACTTTATATATTATCACACAACAATGAGACGTGTGTTGTGAGGCATCTTACTGTAACTGGTCCCATTTCTTGGCTTCAAATACTTCTTTTATATAATTAATGTTTTAATTTAATTATTATCCTAACACCGTCTATTTTTTCTTTTAAATTATTCGAAATATCTCCACTCTAAATATCTCCACCCAAAACACATAAATATTGGAGTTAGTGGACTATGTCGGTACAAGTTGCGAAGGTACATAAATTTCTTATTAGGTATTTTAATCTTCCAGATTTTTAACCCACCAGTTTCCGGCGTTGACTTTTTCGATATTTTTTTTCTTTCTTTCTGTAACATCTTTTTTCGTTTAAACAGCAATATTGTTGTGACTAACAGTAATATTAACTATATTAATATTAAATACATTAAAATTAACTGTACTACAGTTTAACATTGTAATATTGCTATATTAATCTCTACCACATTAATATTAACACAACAAAACTCATTATTATTGTGTAATAGAGTAATATTACTATGTTGACCGTTCAACAAATGTAAACATAATAAAAAGCCAAAATAATTAATATTACTGTGAGTGACAGTAATATTACTATAACAACAGTAATATTACCGTCAACCACAGTAATATTACAATAAATATCGGCATATACATGAATGTTTCCTTTATTTATAATAAACTAGCATTTTTTTCCCCGTGCGATGCACGGGATATTATTTCAAAAGTAAAAAAAAAAAATTAATTTAATACCTAATAAGAAAATATAGTACATTAACATAGTAACATTTAAGAATGTAGTATTATTCATATTTTATATAACATTAGTTTTTAAAATATTACATATTAAGATTTATAATCCAAATATATAGGTTTAGATTTAACAAATCAAAGTTGTATCTTTATCTATTTAGATTTGAGATATATTAATGAAAAATAGGAGATTGATAATTGTTGAAAATTAGTACATAAAAAATATTAAAAATAAATAATTACAGAATTACCATTAGAGTTTTTTAGGGTTGCCCATCGTTTATTTCTTTTATATATAAGATATTAAAGGGATGGGCTTATTGGTGAAAGAGATATAGCCCCTAAACCTAGAACAATAAAGATGTTTGATAAGGGACTTATGCACAAAACCCCCTAAATTTTATAGGCAAATGGCAAATAAGTCCATGACAAGAGTACTTAATTAAAAAAATACATCCATTTTTTTTTTTTTTTTTTTTGTGTTCTAAATAAATTCACCTCATTCAAACTTATTTGCAAATAAGGAAAATCATTTTATATATACCAAAATTACACCCAACTCCTTAAAACTCTAATTTCATGATTTACACCCCAATTTAGCTCAATTTCACCAATTAACCAATTTTGGCCGCCACCGCCGGTCTTCGACATTGATTTTTTTTTGAATTTTTTTTTTTACATGTCAACCGCCGTTAACCACTGGTCTCCAGCGTTGATTTTTTATTTTATTTTTAAAACTAGTTTTTTCTTAAAAAAATATTTTAATTAATATTACTGTCTTGGTCTGCTATATTACTGTCTCCGACACTAATAATATAGTCAGAGGCAGTAATTTACTGTATTAGTTAATTTTATCGTCTTGGCCTGCAATTTTGCGGTCTTCGACGGTAATATTACTGTCTCATGCAATAATATTAATGTTTGTGACATTAATGTTAATAATATTGTTGTTCGGGAAAGTAGTGTTCAATATTACTGTTCGTAACAATAATATTAATGTTCGTGACAATAATATTACTGTTTGTAGACATGGCCATTGGGCGGGTCGGGCCTAGGTCCTAGTTCGACTTTTAGGGGACCCGAAACCGACCCGCGGGGAGGCGGGCCGGGTCTGGGTCCAAATTGGTTCTTCAAAAAAAAAATTTAAACAAGAAAGAAAAAAAAAACTTATATTGAAACTTGAAAAAACATGAGATTAACTTTAAATTCAAAATTAAAAAAATAATTGAATTTAAACACTAAACAATTTTAGGAAAAAATGAAACAATTAAGACCTTGAGACATAAACTAAATAAAATGAAAGTTGTGAAGATTGGATTATGGGTATTTATAAGTGAAAATAATAATTGAGAAATTTTTCAAAATTTCAAAATTCAAAAAGAAAACAAAAAAACAAAATTCAATCTTTCTTTTAAATTAAATCGTATTTTTTTATATTTTTCAAAATTAAATATACATGCATTTCTTATTAGTCGAGATTTTTGATATTAATAATAGTCAAAATGACAATTAATAATTTATAAAACATTAGTTATACAATTATTATAATCATTTTACGGTATTATTTATATTGATATATTTATAGCTAGGATTATTATAACAAGGAATATATATAACGTAAACAAAAGGTGTAAAATGATTATAATAAATAATGTTAAATAGATAATTAATATCATATTCATTATTATTAAATAATTTTAATTAATTTATTAACAAATATAATATAATAATAAAAAAAATTAAATTGAAAGGCCTTGAGCTTAATCCATCATCTTACGATTCGATTCTAATGTTCGAATAAAATGTAAATGTAAAAAAAAAAAAATTGATTAAATCATATGACCTACGATTTTTACAAATTAAACCAATTATTAAAATAGAAATCACATCATGATATTTTGATTATACTCGTCATATATAGTTTTATTTTTAAAGTAAGAAATTAATTAGAATGAGATATAATATATTTTTGTTAAAATAAACATCATCTATATTTTTAAATAATTATCTTATGATAAAATAATCAATAATTTTCATAAGTTCTTGTCAACAATTGAGGTGAATCGATTTAAATTAATTAAAACGAGTTGTAATCTATTTTCTTAAATAAACATCTTATTTTATTTTTCATTCGAATTTTTTCACACTATTGATTTTAATAACATAAGTGAGTTTGTATTAAGTTAACGCGTTTGTTTATATATTGAATTGATTCAATACTTTATATTTTTCAATAGTGAAGATTATAAATGATATAGTAATAAATAATAGATGTTTTGAAGTATTGAACAATGATTCTATATATATTGTTTTTAAAGTTTCCTATATTGCATTTGTAAATAATTTAATTTAAATTATTTATTAATAATTAATATGAAAATTAATAATTTATTTATCATATTTATCATTTTACTCTAGCGTTATATATATATATATATATATATATATATATATATATATATATATATATATATATATATATATATATATATATATATATATATATATATATATATATTGTCTACATTTAATCAAATATGTTTGTTGCTCCAATGGTTAGAGTTGCCCAATTTTGTCCATTTTCCCAATACTTGGTCGGATCCATGATCAAGGGGCGGGGTCGGGGCAGTCTCCGGGTCAAAAAAGAAATTCAGAAAAAAAAAAAAGTTAACACCGGAATGTAGCCGGAAAATTAATAATTATAATTTAACACTGGAATGTAGCCGGAAAAAAATAAATTATTTTCTGAAAAAAAAAATATTTAATTTTTTTTTATGAAAATGGGGGTTAATGCGATATATTTTTTCAAATCCGAGGTCAATGTGTAATATTGAAGAAGTTAGATATAGAATTGATGAAAATTATATTAAGGGTATTTTAGACAAAAGACATGATGATGAATTTATTTGCAACAATATTTTTTATCTGGACCTACGTGCATCTTAGTTCCTTATCACGAGCCTACTTGCGGTTTGTCCAAATTTTATTTCAATCTAAACGAACCTTAGCCTACATGTAAATATATATGGGGCAATTACTTTAATTGTACTTTTGCTTACATTATTAAGTTCAAGATTTTTTTTTATTTATATTTGTTTTTATAATTTAAAGATTTAAACAATGTTGGATCGGCCATATGCAACTTCTGTCGTAGTTGAATGGAATGAGTTTTTATTATCTTTTGAGTCGTTTCGCTTCAAACAAAGTTGGCCTTTGAATCAAAAGTGAATCTGCAAAAATCATCACCACTACACCATTGTTGAATGACCATCTCAACCAAAAGTTTAAGCTTAAGGTGGACATTCAATACGATTTTGATATCAGAGTCAGGCCACCGCCACCCATTTCAAATATTTCAAGTACAAAAGGCTTCAAATGTAATTCGTATGTACTTGAGGGAACGTATTGAAAATATTAATATAAAATGATACATTTCACTAAAAACTTAAGTTTTTCGTTGAGGTGTCATTCAACAACCATCATAAGTACAGAAAATACCACCACCACCTTAGTGTTGCAGAAAAATACCACCATGGCAAGAGTTTGCAAATCGTAACCAAGAATTGCAAAAATCATCACAAACATCGTCATGGGAGAAACTCGGGAATATGCTTGTCAAAAAATAGGTGGAAAAAGATGGGCTTAGTTAGTAAATTAGTCTTGATGGAAAATCACCGTACAACGGTAGCCTCAGTTCGTAGACATCATTTTCACTGGAAAATAGTCTCAATTCAAACATGAGTTTGATTCACACTCAATGTTCTCATAAATATTTACCATCCCAATAGAGGGGTGTGTAATTAAATAGTCAGGTCTTAATTGGTAGTCGATTAGTCCAATAATTTCGGATCGACCCAAAAAAAAAAATTCAGACCAATTCCAAAATGTTGAAACAAACACTTAAGATACAAATGTGGAAAACAATACGAGAGCATTGTAGAGGGAGTGTATGGCTAAAGATGTAGTTAGGTTACCTGTCCAACAATAAGAGCAACCAAGAACAAACCCGACAATGAAAAGTTGTATGAAATTATCAGCAGAGAAGTGAGCTGCACTGAAAGCAATTGAACTGATTATAACTGCTTTCTGCCATTTCATTTTGGAGCAAAGAGAAGTTAGAAGAAATCCTCGATATACAACTTCTTCCAGAAACGGAGTCACAAAGCAATAGACGAGAACGCAGGCTGCTGTGGAGCTTGACCCACTCGAAATTATTTCCTTTAGAAACGGATTGTTAACGTCCTGTAAATTCATGAAATCCCAGGTTAAGTGATTTAACTAGAGTCTGAGAGATCAATCTCTATCAAATGAATCGAAATTTCGTATAACATTTTTGTCTAGATGAACAAAAGCAAATAATAAAATTGAAATAACATTCCAAACCAAATTGAAGAGTAACAAAAAAAGAAAAAAAAGCACAGCAAATCAACAACAACAATGCACCACCATTAGGCCTTTAAGCGATGTGTGGTGTCTATATCCGACCTTCGACAAACGGGTGAAAACAGTTTCCACCCGTGTATGTCGGAATGTGTTGGTGTGCTTACTACAATGTAATAAAAAAAAAAGGTACAGAAAAATAATAAAGTAAATAAATTCAGATACTTCTTATATCAATACAAAATGCGGTTCCTTATAAATATAATGTCAATTAATTGCTACGAGTTACCATAAATAATAAATAAATATTATTTTCCCACTGAAAACCTCACCCTACACCACCCTATCCGAAACAAAAAAATAAATAATAAATAAATATTATAATAAGAAAAAGTGGGCGAAGGTGAAACATAAAGAACCTAGAAGATCATAATCAAGATGCAATGTTAACTTTCATAACACAGTGGTTTTACATAACAAAAGAGAGAGATAAACTTATTCAATCACTCTCTTCAAATTAAACTAACCAACATAAGTTAGACAAATTGACGAAACCTTAATCCTATGGCATCTTTTTGTTGGCTTAGTTCATGGTACATCTCATGTGTATACTTTTAACCCGGTAGTTGCGTGATATGTTTATTTGTATCTATAAGTGATGTGTCTGTTTACTGGATTTACATCTCATGTGTATACTTTTACAACAGCTAATTGGTTGCAAAGTATCTGAGGATGCCATCTCGAGACAATTATAGGATTTCAATGGAAAAAAAAAAAATAGGACCAAAGAAATTAAGGGAGATTTTTAAATTAGAAGGTTCATTTTCTTTTAAACCTTTTTTTTTAATAGATTTTCTTTGAAACTTGGAATTGAGTGTTAGTTTCTCTATTGGAGCAAATCTAGTCATTTGAATTCATTGAGAATTGGAACTTCACTCATACATTAGAGATATTCTATACGTGTTCTACAACGACCACGTTAGTTGAGTTAACACTTTGATTTGCATTCTCAAATAAATTGGGCTGGTCCTTTTGGTTACAGTTATATCTGGTAATACTACCTTCACGACTTAAGGAACGATGTCGATGCTGCATAGAGATACCAACATAAATAGAATGTTTTTTGGTTAATAAAACAGTAGAACCTCGATAAATGAATACTCGATAAATTAGTAACCTCGATTAAATAATAGTTTCTCCCGATCCCGACTCGGTAGAAAACGTGTTAAATTATTAACTCGATAATTTAATAATTCGCTAAATTAGTAGAATTTCTCTGGTCCCGACTGTATTAATTTATAGAGGTTTAACTGTATTTAGTATTTTGAAATAAGTACAGAGCTAAGTCGAAATCCACAAGAATTCTTTATTTGGATTGAAAAATATGTAACTAAGGATTTCAATTCCATCATAATAAAACCATTGAGACTGTTTAGATGAGTTGATTTAACAATGGATTTTATTTTTTTAGGATAATTCTAGTGGATGTGAAAAATCCACTCTATATGGAGTCATTTGAAATGACCTCTAGTACATTCATAGAACGTAGTACGAGTCTTGAGATTATATTCGCACTTAGCTCTTTAGACTCTATTGCATATGTTGTACTTTTTAATCTTTGATTAACAATGAGGGGGTCAGACCGATAAAGTAGAACCGTAATTTTCATGCCTACCTCATCATTTCCCAATATCTAATATAAGTATTATATGTTTGGTTATGAGAACTGAAAGCAAAGCTAGTGATGATAGTTTCATTATGTGTAGAAACAGAAAAAAACTAAAAGTAATTGGAATTTCAATAAGCACCTTCGTTAAGTTTAATATTAATGCATTTGATTGAGTGAAAAGGGAATAAGCTTACCTTGGGCCCCATCAAACTGTCAGCAAAATACGAAGCAGCAAAAACCAATGAAAGAAGAAAACCAAAACCAAGCACTGATGCTAGTAACCCACTCCTCTCTTTGTTAGCATTAAAGAAATCTGACAGATTATACCGAGGCTCCTGTGGATACTTTAGAAGCAGCAGAACAATGATAAGCTCCAATATTTGAATTCCAAGTATTAACAGTGCCTGTGCTGGAAACAACAAAAATAGTTCTATCCTTAGTAACTATCGACGGGTCGGCATGAAGACAGCAATGGCAAAAAGACTTACCTCAGTCTGTGGATCGAGAACAGGTTGATGCAATATATTGGCAGCAGCAGATAAACCACCAAAACTCAAAGGAATGTGGATGCTGAACATATAAAATCCCATCGAACTCCATACACTTCCAATGTCACCTTGAGTGTTTGTTTTGAGGACTGAAAATCCCTGTTATAAGAACGGAAAAAAACGATGTTATAATATATTCTTTAATGATAAACTAATTGACATAGGCCTCGTGTGGTTGGTTCAAAAGATTATTTGATCAACTACGACTTATCTTACCAACCTAACAAAGCCATAAATGATATGAACGGGGAAAAGGTTAAATTCCACATACATACTGTCTTTCTACTCACGGACAACTAACAATCCAAGAAAATCTAGTTTCTAGCAACCTTATAATATTCAAAATCAGATTAAATCTCTATTTTTCAACTTTCACTCATCCATCAGAATGCAGCTATTTAAAACCAAATTCATGAAAATGATACCATATGCCAATTACAATTGAGTAACACAATCTATACATTAAGAATCTTGCATATCGGTACATTGACATTTATCAACTGTACACCTACATCTGCTTTGCGATATGACTTCCCTAATTATTTGACTTGTGCATAATCAATCAGTTCTTTGGGTTTGACTTTTGGAAAGAAATATTTAATTGCAGCCAAAAAAAATATCACTTGAAAATATCATTGACATAAATAAACAAAACCTTGACAGTTCAAATTAAAGATTAAGTGATAATTGCACATTAAGTGAGAATTCTAATCGATGGCTCGAAACAGATGTAAACGTGTGGATTGTCGATCAAGAAACTAACATAGACAATGGAAATAAAGTTGGAATGATTTTGTACTTGTATGTAGTATTGAAAAGCATCTTCCCTTCTCAAAAGAACAGATTCTAATCTTGCAATACATAGTAGATTCATTTCATCACATCATCAATTCTGAGTTGATCCAAAATCACTTCACGTGAAAAATATAACAATTACAGAGCTCCAAAAGAAGTTGTAAAACATCATCAATTTGCATGATGAATTCAAACCAATTTTTTTTAAAATCACCAAAAATTGAAAGGTTAGGGCAAAAAAAAAAAAGTGTAGAAAACGAAAACGCAGGAGAAATTGGAAAGAAAGCAGTAAGATTTGTTTGTGCGGATTGCATAATTTCAGAGATAAAATAAGAGTGAAAAAAATAAATTGAAAGAAATGTAATATCGAAATTAACCTCCGAAGTATGTTCATTTTTTGTGGAACGGCAATTGAAGGAAGAAGAAGCTCTGCTGCTGCTGCTGAGGAAATTGGAGTTGAAGAGAAGTTGTTTTTTATTATGATTAGGTTTGCTGAAGTTGTTGTTGGTGGTGGGGAAGACATTCAGCAGAGAAATAGTGGTCATCTCATCTCCTTCCTATATTTTTCTACACTTTCCTTCTACAATAACTCTTCACCTAGTCCTATTTTATTTTTGGCATAATAATTTGATAGAGAATAAGTGTTAAATACACTTTTGCACTTTGCACCTTGCACCACTTTTATCAATTTTTTTTTAACCAAATTGGATCTTCTTTTGTTTAATTCTTTTTTGAAAAAATAGATTCATCATCCACCCCAGCGCATCACTTTGCCATTCCACCATTTTTCGTGGGAAAAAAAGGTATTTTGGATCAAATAATAATATTCAACCATTTTACTATTTATATGAAATGAGATTTGGTTTGGTCTCCCATGTTATTTCATCATATATATTACAAAACTATAAATTTAATATTTATCGTAATTTTACTATATTTTATTTTCTAAATATTAACTATAGATCCCATTTTAAGCAATAATTTAAGAATTATGTTATAAATTTAAAAAAATAAAACTATCTAAACATGAAATAAAATTAATTCAAGTTATTTTACATATGATTTATATGAATAATCTTACAAACTACGACATAAATAATATTACAACATAAATTTGTATAGTAGTTTATTATGTTTTGTTATTATGTTATGATGTTCATACGTAAACAATAATCTCATAAGTGAATACTTGTTCGGAAGAGAATATGTGAACAACAATGGGTTTTGATTGTTCCTATTACTATAGTTTATATCGAGGACATAAACTTGACTTAGACTCCTGCACAAGTCAAGCAACAACTCAATGCTTGAAATTTGAGCTCGAGACTGAAGATATTGAGGAGAATAATTTGTGGTCTCTACAAACTTAAAATTATCATTCGATCAGATTTTTGTCCATCAATCGAATTACATCAGGGAGATTTTATGGAAAGCAAAATTATCGAATAACACCTACGGAAATTCGACTATTGAATAGGTCACATGATTCATCCCGTCCCATGGAGGAGGACAGTGAATTGCTAGCACCAGAAGTGCCATGTCTAAATGCAATATGTGCATTAGTGTACTTAACTCCATGTACTCGATATGATTTGGCATTTTCGGTAAATTTGTTAGGTAGACGTAGCTCACATCACCGATATGCCGTATGCATTAGTCAAAGATAGAAAGCTTATCGGTCATACCGACATTGACCATAAGTCATATCACACAAAGCTTGTTCCCAAAATCTATGATTTAGTATTGGTAAAATAGTTATGCCTTTGAGGTCTGTAAAATGTATCTTAGGTCACTTAGTAGAATCATGTAGAAATTTAGCTTCACGAGATAGTGCGTGAATGCACATAGCCTGAAGTCATTATTGGGCATGTTCGAAATTTCAGTGAATTGACTAACACAGAAGATCCTGTGAAATCGTATTTCACGTTAATGCATCATGCATTGAGAAAATGAAGACGAACTTCATTAAATGTGACAATTCCAAGCGCATAGTTTTAAAGTTTCTTTTAATCAGCAATACGAACTCAAACAATTATGGTCCTGCATATAAATGAGTTGGGATAACTACATTGACCTGTTTATCAAGTCTTTGTTTAAAGGCCACATTATGAAGCATGATAATGCTATTGGTTTGTGTATATTATTCGAGCTCGCTCCATTGTAGATATTAGGGGGAGTTAATTTAAGGGAGAGTACACACTATCCAGAAGATACTTTGGTGCATTGTTGTACTCTTTTTGCTTCGTGCAAAGTTTATTTTTTCCAGGATTTTCGTTACTCGCCAATGTTTTAACGAGGCAACATATGATTAGAAATATTGTACGTTGTACTCTTTTTCCTAACTGGTGTTTTTTTTTTTTGGCACTTGATTTTTATAAGTCGAAAGGTTTTAATGAGGCAACATGAAAATTAAAATAGTGGTTCGATAGGAATCTCCAAAGAGGAGTGTTGTAAATAATATAAATGATGTGGCTTTTCCTATTTTAATCATACTAATAATCATGACCGTGCGTTGCAAACTTGTAGGGTCTCATTCAACAAAAGGAAGAAAATAATTGTGTAAATAAATAATAGTACAAATCGTAATAAAAAATCTATAAAATAATATAAAATATATATGTATATATATATATATGCTCATCGAGTGTCAATATATAAAATATATGTTAAACAATAAATAATACAAATTTAAAAAAGAGGACGGCTATTTGATATACTAATTGTTTTTGCCTTCAATACCGCTTAAATAATAAACAATATAATAACATTTATATTGTTATATTAATATAAATAAAAAATAAATAAAAGAAAGCGCTCGTGAACCAGCTCGTGAATTCACGAACAACTAAAAAAGAGCTCAAGCTCGACTCGTATAAAAAACTTGAGCTCAAATTTGAGTTCGAGCTTTTTTCGAGTCTACTCAGATCGTTTACCACCCTAGGATCATAAATAAGAATATGTAATTTAAAATATTGCATTATTTTTTGTTTTTGGGGGATCACAACCTCCCCTACAATATACTAAATAATTTATGATAAACATACTAAATAATGAAACAAATAATCAATACTCCCTCTGTCCCATATTATACGTCGTTTTGAGTGGTTACGTGTATATTAAGATATTCAATAAATATGCATAAATTATATCAAATATAACATAGTAAATACTAGAATACCGTAGTTATTAATTATTTTTTTAATTAACTAATTAAGAGGAATAAGGAATAAAATTGATAAAAATGCAATTAATGCTTTATTGAAACTCTAAAATGACAAATAATTTGGATTAAAAAATATATATATCTATAATAAGAGATAGAGAGTACTTTACTAGGCTTCAACATATCATGAAATTGTACTATTCCGATTAATCACTAAACAGATGACACACATATATATATTTTTCATATAGATTATTAATTAATTTTAATCTCTAAGCATAGTTTTCCACTCATCAAATCGTAACAGGCTCAACGAGTACACTTTGTATAATCTCTTTAGTCTTGGCGTTGGAGTTGGTGTATCCATCTTCGTCACTATAAAGAAGATTAATTAAACGAGCAAGATTGAGAACGCACGAGAGTATCGGAAAAGATGATGCAGTCGACCCAATGCATTCTTTATTTATATCCTTCCACGCTTTCTGCACTTGTTTTTCGAATTCCGCAAAAGCCTCCGCTTTCGACCCACCATTCTCGTTCCTGTAACACTCCACTGCTGTTAGTTTCTCTTCAAACTGCATGCACATGTGTTGGGTGCTAAATACCAACACACAAGTGTACGTATCGCAAACAAGTAGTAAAGTAGACTCGTGAGATTCGGATGTCGATCCCACAGGGAATACGGTAATACGCAAATTATTTAATCCTAAGTACCAAATTCTCACAATTGTTATTTTTATCCAGCCTACGCAGGGTTGTCAATTAAATTAACTAAATAAATTAAACTAATTAAGAAAGCAAGTAATTACGAGAAAATATCAATATAAAACGGATCTAGGATTTTATCTTCCCCCTATGCGATAATTCTTCACCCAATTAATCTCCTATCATGCAAGTTACGATTCCCGATTATTAACCCAAGACACGAAATTATTCATAACCAACTGTCGCTGCGCTATAAACCTATTATTCATAAAAGATTCACTATATGTCTATGCAAACCTAGTATAAATAAAACATTAAATAACAAGTCTCGCAAACGGCTACCTAAGGTATTATCTGTATGTCTACGATAATACATGCAATCAACACACGCATTCGGTGAAAAACTACTCGAAGGCTCTTCTATCCCTGTTCTAATTATTAAAACGATCTGTCAATCAATTCTAACAATAACAAATAGCAACATAAGTTAGCTACGCTCATGCACTAAATAAGATCAAGATAGAAGAAATAATCGAAGAATTAAACTTGCATAAAAGTCGAATAAGAGGTTCGAATTACCACATAGGGTTCCAATAAAATCCTAGAATAAAAACTTAGCTACTCATGTTCGTTACGAAAAGCATAATAAAAATACGAAAATTCATAAAAATCAGAAAAGAAAAGGAAAAAGGAAAACTAGGATGAAGAGTCGTCAAGTCTTCGTCTTCGTTCTCTTGCTCCTTGATTGCGTGTAGAAAAGATAAAAAACTAAAAACTAATAATAACGATAAAAGGTAAAAAAGATTCCCCTAATTGTGTGTTTTTTGGCCTTTAAATAGGGTGCAAAAATATAATAGGGCGGGTTTCCTTGTATAATTGAGTTTCCTTCACTGCGCCATCACGTCCACCCGGACGGCCGTGTGAGATTTTGAACTAAAATCCGCACGGCCGTGCGGTCTTTTAATTCTTCATAAATCTGATTTTTTCACTTTTGGCCCACTTTTTCTCTGAATTTGCAGTTTTTACCCCAAAAGTTGTCAATTCTTCAATTTGCACCTAAAATACAATTAATAACCATATTAAGCACCAATTATCGTAAAAACACATCAAAAGCTCCAATTAAAAGGTACAATTAAGTGTGTAAATATACACTTAACAACATGTGTATGCAATTCATCAATTAACTAATTAATTACTTCATTAAACTAACACAATTACAAATTGAGTGTATGTATGTATGTATATTAAATTACTAATGATCGACTTACCCCATGCCCTACCATGTCGTCCCTTAATCTACAAATCACGGAAGATGCTCGTACGATCAACGGTTGAGATGTGATCCAATCGAAGTCTTCCTTAGTTACTTGATTTCCCATACCAACAATTGAAGTTGTGGACAACATCATATAAGCACCACTTACTAATGAAACCTTCATATATTCTTCCATTGTTGGTGTATACTTAGAGCCCGTTTGGCTAAGCTTATTTAAAACATCTTATAAGCTCCTACATCTGATAGGATGTTTTAGGAGCTGATAAGCTGTTAGATCTTATTTTAAAAATTATTTTTTAAGGTGTTTGGATATGTAGCTTATAAGTTACTTTTTTTTATATAAGTTGTTCAGGTGTTTGGAAATAAAAGGTCTGTTTATTGCTATAATGACAAAAAAGTACATGACACCAGTATAATTGTTAAACTTATTTGACTCAAGTACTTTTGTTCCTAAAATATTATTATAATATTTACAAATTATTTTTTCAAATAATAATAATAATATAAAATTATATAATAATATAAAATAAAAGTTGTAAAAGAAATATAATTTTTTTTATAGATGAAAGAAATATAATTTATTATAGAGATAATAAGAATATTCGTGTATTTTTATATACATATAAAATATAAATAGAGAATAATTTTTTTTACAATTATTATGATAATTACGATAATTATATTTAACTAATTATTAATCTTGATTACAAGGATACGTTGTTTTGATAAAATATAAATATTATTAGTATTCATGTAATACAATAAAGTATTTGAGGGTAATTTTGTATTTTAAGTATTTTAGTAAAGAAGCAAATAAGATCTTAAAGACAAAATGTGGGGTAGAGGTACTTTTTTAAAAACATCTTATAAGCTCCTTAACAGCTTATTTTTGGAAAAAATAAGATCTTTTGCAATTTTTTTACCAAACACCTTTTAACAACTTATAAGCTCTTAAACATCTTATAAGATGTTTTTAGGAGCTTATAAGCTTAGCCAAACAGGCTCTTAGTGTAACACCATTTTGCTTCTTCCAAATACGCCCTCACCAATTTCTTCATCTGCAAATAATATATATATGTTATTAATTAAGATTAATTAATATATATATAGGTTATTAATTAATAATGCTTATTAATTAATTCATTTTTCAAGATTAATTAGCTACATCAATTAATTAACCTCTTCTTTTGCGTAGTGTACACGGTACAAAGTGTCCGTTTTTCTCATTTCAACTTCAATTTGAAGATAAACATCGAAGAGGGCAGTGCAACATATTCTCATGTATTGTGGTAACTGCTCCAACGCATTATCGTCCCAACTGGCCGACGTACGGTAACAAAACAAAATAAAAATCATAAATATTGCAATACAATATAATAGGTATTAATTAAGTTCAATTAGATGCAAACGACAATAATACCTTTGAATAAAATCGGTGAAGAGCTGGAGTTCATCCAAGGTTCCATGGACATCGTAAATGTCGTCGATAATTGAAGTCAACGCAATGACTTTGGTCAGAATTCTTCTAGCAATGTGGTGTTTTGGCTCAAAGTAAACTGTCACTATCCAAAAATAGCATTCCACCATTCTATCTCTTGCAAATGGCAATTTATTTGCAAAGTCTAAATCCTTCCACCACCTATATATATATTATATACATATAGTACAATCATTTAATTTAATTTCATGCTAATTAATTAAATAACATGTAATTAATGTTATGTCGGCCTTGTGCTAATTACCTAGTAAGATCGCTGAGCTCTTTCTGATGTATCTTTTGTACGATGTTGAAGTCCGATTTCGCGAAATTCAGTAGTGTTTTATTGTGGGATTCGTTTTCTTGGTAAATAGAAATGAATTTCCTTGCCCCCAACCTAATCGCGCTTTTGCGAATCGGGATATTCAAAGCTTCACTAACTTGTTTAGCAAGATAGTTATAGTTGTTCTTTTGATCGACCAAATGCAATTCAAGAAGAGACGAGCAAAACGATATTGCTTTGTCGAGAATATCCTCACCGTCTATTCCAAGATGAGCCGCGCGCCTCGTATAAGCTCAATATTGCTTCGACGTTATTTGCTATTGACGCCTTGAAATTCCCTTCGTCATCCATGAATTTGTTGAACACATCTGTTAATTAGTTATTAAAATGGATAAATTAATTATATATATATATATATATATATATATATATATATATATATATATATATATATATATATATATATATATATATATATATATATATATATATATACATGATCATGATTAATTGGAGAGAAGTTTCACTTAAATATATATATAATAGAGTAAACTGCAATAACTACCCCTGTGTTATCTCAAAATAGCGGAAACCCCCCTGTGATAAATAAACTAGCAAAAACCCCCCTGTGAAATTTAGTCAAAGGCAGAATCCCCCCTAGCTGATTTTTTAGACTTGAAATGACAAAATTGTCCCTCAAAATGTATTTATATATATACATATTATATGTATATTTATTCTTTTTAATTTATTTGTTTAGAAATTCAAAAAAAATAGTAAACAACTAAATTGATTATTTTTTAAATAAAATAATTAAAATATTTATAAAATATAAGAATTTATTAATTGCAAGACTCCAGGGGTATTTGTGTCTTTTTATATCAAGTCAACCCTCAAATAGTTCTATAAGGGGGTTTTTGCTATTTAAATAATTTCACAGGGGAGGTTTTTGCTAGTTTATTTATCACAGGGGGGTTTTTGCTATTTCGAAATTACACAGGGGTAGTTTTTGCAGTTTACTCATATATAATATGCATGATCAAGTGTAATAATAATAT